ATTTTTGCTTGAAATTTTCTACAAGATGTGGGCATTACATCAGAGCAGTTTGTATCAGCATGTAAAAGAAAAGATGGCAATCAAACGGAGGAAACTTATGTAAGTTTATTTCCAAATTGTTTTATTGGAGCCTATTGTATTGTAACTGACGGCATCAGAATCATACTGTAGCTTGAAAAACTTTATCTATTTTATCTAGGACAATCTAATAATGTGCATTATTTATATGCAGACTTTGCAGTCCTATACCATTAATTTATCTGTATCTTTACTGATTTACAGTAGTGTCAATCATGATTGTACCTGAGGGTGGCTCGGCCCATACTCTGACTGGGAAGTGTGCTTCAGACTTAAATAGGAGGACTGACATAGATTCAATCAACAGCCCTGTCAATTTGACAATTAATCAAGAGTTGGGTCTTTCAATACATGTTAATTAAAGTGCAAATGTTCACATGTTCAAATATGCTGCCTCAATCCAAAGAACATTTGTTTGTTTGTTCAGAAGGGCTTGTTCATTGAGCCATTAACAACCCTGATATATCATGAACAGGGATTCTGGTTTTTTTGTAATCATTTTGGGATGATGATTCTGATTATTTTGTAATCATTATGGGATGATGATTCTGATTATTTTGTAATCATTATGGGATGATGATTCTGATTATTTTGTAATCATTTTGGGATGATGATTCTGATTATTTTGTAATCATTACGGGATGATGATTCTGATTATTTTGTTATCATTTTGGGATGATGATTCTGATTATTTTGTAATCATTTTGGGATGATGATTCTGATTATTTTGTAATCATTATGGGATGATGATTCTGATTATTTTGTTATCATTATGGGATGATGATTCTGATTATTTTGTAATCATTACGGGATGATGATTCTGATTATTTTGTTATCATTACAGGATAATGATTCTGATTATTTTGTTATCATTATGGGATGATGATTCTGATTATTTTGTAATCATTACGGGATGATGATTCTGATTATTTTGTAATCATTACGGGATGATGATTCTGATTATTTTGTAGTCATTACGGAATGATGATTCTGATTATTTTATAATCATTGGATTATGATTCTGATTATTTTGTAATCATTATGGGATGATGATTCTGATTATTTTGTAGTCATTACGGGATGATGATTCTGATTATTTTGTAATCATTATGGGATGATGATTCTGATTATTTTGTAATCATTATGGGATGATGATTCTGATTATTTTGTAATCATTACGGGATGATGATTCTGATTATTTTGTAATCATTATGAGATGATGATTCTGATTATTTGTAGTCATTATCAATTTGGGTATACATTTAAAATGTCTTGGAACATAGATACATATAAAATGGATTGTACCCCTGGGGAGTTATTAAAAAAATTACCTTATTGACTTCCACCATGTCAATACACTCATGTAACTATACCTAGGCTTCATGTACAACAGTTAAGACCCAATTCTCAGCTTCAGCCAAGTTTTACTTTTAGTAGCTGGATGCAGCAGAGAGTAATTTATTGATTTATTCTGGAGAGTTGAAAACCTTCATACCTGCTGAATTAACATTAGAAGTGATATTAACATTAGAAGTGATATTAACATTAGAAGTGATTTTAACATTAGATGCGATATTAACATTAGAAGTGATATTAACATTAGAAGTGATATTAACATTAGAAGTGATATTAACATTAGAAGTGATTTTAACATTAGAAGTGATATTAACATTAGAAGTGATATTAACATTAGAAGTAATATTAACATTAGAAGTGATATTACATTAGATGCGATATTAACATTAGAAGTGATTTCAACATTAGATGCGATATTAACATTAGAAGTGATATTAACATTAGAAGTGATATTACATTAGATGCGATATTAACATTAGAAGTGATATTAACATTAGAAGTGATATCAACATTAGAAGTGATTTTAACATTAGATGCAATATTAACATTAGATGCGATATTAACATTAGAAGTGATATTAACATTAGAAGTGATATTAACATTAGAAGTGATTTTAACATTAGATGCGATATTAACATTAGAAGTGATATTAACATTAGAAGTGATATTACATTAGATGCGATATTGACATTAGAAGTGATTTTAACATTAGATGCGATATTAACATTAGACGTGATATTACATTAGAAGTGATATTAACATCAGAAGTGATATTACATTCGATGCGATATTAACATTAGAAGTGATTTTAACATTAGAAGTGATATTACATTAGATGCGATATTACATTAGATGTGATATTTTGACCATAGACATACCTCTGTCATTTACTTAAGTGTATACACATATTATATGAATTACTAATTAATTAATTTGTGTTTGATCAAACTCTTGATTGGACTTGACCTTTAAATGATCTCTATATGATTGTCGTATTCTCAATGTTGGTTATTGATTGGTGTATCAAAATCAAGTTTATGTGACAGAGAGTACTACAATCCATCTAATTACAAATGTATATTGTTAGTAAAGGACAAATACTGAATTTAAATATCCTCACATTCAAATTTCTAATGTTCATTAAAGTTTTACATATCGTTCTTGAATGTCTAAGATTATAGTTTCCATGGCAACTGTTCCCAGTGTGAATTCTTTTTACACTGCCATGGTGAATTCAAAACAAATTATAATATAATAATGGTAAAATTAATTAAACTATCCTAATTACCACAATACTTTGCAATATTATGGGATACCTTATGTAGACATGGTGTTGTCATTGCTACCTCATTAAATCATTTGTAAAACCAAGCTACCTCATTTTTTTTTTATATTATATCAACAATTGTGATGAAATAAAAAAGTTTGTTACCATGGAAATAAGGAATCTGTGATTATCTGGTGGCCATTTTGAATAATGAAATTTCACTCATCCATTCATTCACCTTGATAATTTCATCTTAATACTCCCATGATTGATTTATCACTCATGGCAACCACCTTCATAAATATGAGATATCAGGTGATAGCCTCATAAACTTAGAGATCTTTCATTTTTCATTAATCATAATTCTAAGGACTGTGTGAGAAATTAATTCAAAATAATATAAATTACATATATAGACATATCAATCATTCTGTCATTCTATTGAATTATGTATTATTGCATTCAACAAAATGTAAATGTCATCAGACACGAGGCAGACAATGCCATACACCATATCCAAGGCTATTAGATATGCTTGATTTTGATTGCATGTGTTGAAGTGTGCAAACAATCAGTTGAGGTATTCAGAGATATGGCCAATGAGTACATTGTCAAAGGACATAAGATTGTAGTTTTCAGACACTATCAACTCTACAGATTGTTCCATTAGGCATGTCTCGATCCTGAAAATCATTTTTACTTACATTTGTCAAATATTACAATATCATTCAAGGACCCTTTATCTTTTGAATAATGTAAAGTTGAATGAAATACATTCCGTGTGTGAATGGAATTCATTTAGTGGATATATGCTTGATTTTGATGTATTTTTATCCAATCAGTCGACTTGAATCTCACTCTGAGACAGATATACCTGCATATGCATTTTAATGTAATATGACAATTTATAGGCTTATCTGAGATACTGGCTATTTGGATGTGAATGTGCATTGACTCTGTTTGCGATTGTCCATATGGATTAAAATAAACAATGTTTGTCATGTTCATGTTGAAAAATAATGCTGACTACGATGTAAATAAAATGTACTATATGCCTGTGGATCTGTTTTTGTTCTTTTCAGGCGGCATTTGAACAAGTTGAAGCTGCACAGGATTTAGAAGTATTCATCAGAATGATGGTACAAAAGAATATTGAACTTGAACTACAAGCCTTGAGACTTATCCAAGAAAGGAATGGTGTTATACCTGAGTCACTGACTCCTACCAAAGATCAACATTATTCACAAGTAGTAGCAGAAGATGAGGATGAAAAAATATTACAGGAAGTGCTAAGGTACACACTGTAATTATCATCTGTCTGTCTTTCACCCATGCATCCAAAACACACTTTATCACTATTCAATAATGCATACATAAATACTGGGTATGCCATTGGAATGCCATAAAAATTGACAAAAAATTTGAGCAGTTTCAATTTCAGTATTTGTATTCAAATTTGTCAAACGTTATTCATCGTACAGTGTGTGACTTAGTGTACGTTATAATCATTTAAAAAATACAACATTTTATAATAGATATAATAGAAGATGGCTGTGAGAATTCTGACTGACCAATCTAGCAATTATATCATTACTTTGATGACTAAGTTGGTAGGTCATGTTTGCATTCAAACAGTCTGTTAGCAATCTCCCCCATCTTATTACAGACTTAGGACTCAGCAGTTATCTAAACACATGTCCAATTTCTGTTAGTATTTACATTTAAAACAATACTCATACCTATCATACCTAATAACCATTGGTGTCATTTGCATTACAATTTTTGCATTGTTGTCATTTTCAAGACGGCACTTTCTTCATAGTAAACAGTGACTTCAGTTTTTCTCCTGTATTTTTAAAAGACAGAATCCTGAATTGTATACTATAGTTTAGAATATTTGGTGTAGAGTGGTGGAAATGATTTCTTGATACATGTGTTCTTGATTGAAGACATGCACACGTATTCTGTAGGTTCTTGGGCAAGACATGTTGTACAATCTGTCAATTACATATCTTAATTTTAATGAAAGCTGAGGGTTGCTATTTATAAGTATTGGTAAATGTGTTAATAAAGGTACGGGTTTGTGCCACACACTGTAGTTTGACCCACTGCTGTCCAATAAAGACACCAACCTCCCAAACCCAAACCTAAACCAGATAATTTCCCAGCATGTTGAACTTGTCACCATTCTAAAATATGATTTTTTTCTTCCGTGGAAATCAAATCAGATTATGTAGTAATTCACTCATCGGCTTTTGGTAACCATTTATATAGGAAATCCAAAGAAGAGTACGAAGCAGAACAAAGTAAAAAGAAAAAGGGTGGATATGACACAGACATGGAGAAAGCTTTAGCATACAGTCAAGATGAACAAAGTAGGTTACATGCAGATAGACAGAGAGAACAAGAAATGCTGGATAAGGTGAGTTAGGTCACTGCTATGATCAGGTGACTTGTACCATAAAGTCATTGACCTGTGTTATGATCAGGTGACTTGTACTATAAAGTCATTGACCTGTTATGATCAGGTGACTTGTACCATAAAGTCATTGACCTATGTTACAGTATTATCAGGTGACTTGTGCTAAATGTTCATTGTCCTCTTTTAACACGCAAAATGAAATCCATCAAAAGAATAAAATCAGTTTAAAGGCAGAATTTATTCACAAGCAAATTATTAAGTGGTAAGAACATTATAAAATGCTAACCATTGTAAATTACACATGTTGGTTTCTTGAATAAGCGCCAATATTGGTGTCATAAATAACTGAAATGTTCTGAAAATGGACTATTTACAGTACCATATTTGTTTCATAAGCCCATCATCATCCTCAAAACAAAAACTGCCATAATTGTATACTGGATTTTTTGAAATATGACCTAATTTGACCATAGACACTTTTGTCATTTACATACATGTACAGACTGCCAATAGAACAAATATGGTACCTAGTTATGTTAAATCAGTTATAATTTGACAACTTCATGATATAGTTTCACTTTGATGCAAATATTTATTTTCTGTGTTTTCTACTAGGCACTGAAGTTATCCTTGACATCCTCTTCAACAACCAAGTCCCAGGCATCTTTGAAGGGTTTACCAGGAATACCAAAAGATACTAAGGTATCTGAATCTGTGTATAATCACATATAATGGACAACTTTACAACATAATTGTAAGACATAACCTGTGTTACCAAGATTGTTGTCAACTGACCATATGTAAATTTAGATTCCAAGTATTCATAACAATTTATTAATATTCATTTTTGTTTGATTAATACCTTGCAGTTTAACTTTGTGAATGCCATCGTTTTTTAATACATTTTTGTTTGTGTTTTTCTATAATTTCTTAATTTATATTGGACCAAATAGACATAATATCCCATCTTGACCAACATATTTGAAAAATAAAGAATAAATTTTGGCAAGTTAATTTTGTGGGACTTAAGTTGACGCAAAGGATTATGGGTTATACGTCAAAGGGTTAAAACAACATTTCATACAAACAGTTAATTTGCATATTGTCTGTTTTGTAGTCATCATCCAAGTCCAGTCCATCTAAGTCTCCTGCACCCGCTGTACCTGTAATAAAAGAACCTGTTGCTGCTAAGGTACCAACAAAAGCACCAAACAAAGTGAGCAGTGCGGAGGCAGCAGCAAGTTGGCTCAGCAGTGCCAAAGCCGAGGCTGCAGAGCAACAGACATCAAGCAGAACCACTGCAGTAAGTCTCTCACATTATCTCAAAGCATCATTCTACATTTAAGAAAAAGATATCAATCTTTGGAATTGCACCATGGAATCATGGGATATCTTATCCTATCTAGAAACATAATCTTACATAATTACCATCAGGGATGCATTTCTCAATATTAAAAAGGGACCCACATTTTAGTACAAGAGGTGGTTGCAATAAAGGTGCACAATATATATATCCTTTATTTTCTCATCAGGACTCACTTCACAAAAATGTTTATGCTAGAAAAGGTATTCCAACTTGCGTAAAAGAGATCTTATTTTTTTTTGATAATCATTCTCAATATTTGATTTATTTTTTACCATCATTTTCTATCTCTTCAGATTTCTCCAATATCATAATAAACATTGTTGACAAATAACACCTTCTAAGTAAATTAATATGTTTATTTTTTGCCAGAATTAGATTTTAGCAGTTCTGAGAATTATGTGAACAGTCATTTAGCAAGATGGCTTGCAATTTTGCAAAACACTTTGGTTTTTGTCCAATTCAGACTTAACAATGGCGCTCATACTAGATAAAACGGGAGAGGGGGTGGTCTTGTGGCTTTTATCAACTCCGACTTTGTTTTCAGTCGTAGACTTGACCTTGAGAACAATTTTCTTGAAATTATGTGGATTGAATTAACTTTACCCAGTTGTAGGTATCTTTTACTTGGTTGCGTTTATAGACCTCCAAGTACTGTTCATAACATAGATGTGCTGTTAGTTCATAACATTGAAAAAGCTTACCTAGAAGGCAAAGAAATGTATATTTTTGGTGACTTTAATTATGATGTTCTATCTAATTGTACTCACTACTTGTTTATTTGCTTAGCTGACTTAGGCTTTTCTCAAATTATTAATGGTATTACGAGGCCTACGTCCGGTAAATGTCTGGACCACGTTTATGTAAATCATAATGAAAATGTTAATTTGGCTCTCATTCACAACTTGGGTATTTCGGACCATAACCCTATATTCGTGGTTCGCAAACATCGTTCCTTCCCTCAATCAAACAATCATGTTTCTATTCGTTATAGAAATTTCAAAGTGTTCGT